TTTTTTAGAATCTTTACACGTTTCTCATTTAAATATTTCCCTCATGCAGCCACGAAGTTTTCTCTTCAGTTAAAATCCCCGAACTCTTTCATCCTTTATCCAACGGTACATTTTCAAACATTTTAAGTCCCTTAGAAAGACAACTGTAAATTCAGTCAACCATTTCGCAGAAGATAAACAGTCTAACGTTACAACAGAGGTCAACTGAGCCATGAAGTGACAGCCTTAATTATAAATAAGTCGACGGCTGATTTTGTTCTGTTTTCTAGGAATCTGAAACAAAGCCGGTTTGTTTGAATGTTTTAATGCACTGCCCATCCTTTTCTAAAACTACAGGACTCCTCGAAATGCACATTGATGACAGTCTGAGAACCAAGAAGAACAATCTCACCATGAGATTTGCGGACTTATTGTGAAACGACTGAGTTGTGCAAACTTCCGGGTAAGTGTGGTCCTTAACCCTTAATCTGTGAATGATCAGCATCTGATTTCTCCTTTCAATATCACACATGAATCAAACATTACGGTCACGACAATAAAGAAAATGATAATTAACTAAAGAAACTATTGTTTGTTCAAAAAATTCTCCTTGCCAGTACATTAGGAAATGTATAGAGAGCCGTATGAAGAATATTCGTATTGATGTTTAGGTGTAAAGGGTTAAAACGTCTGTTGTATGTGACAATGACCAATGTTTCGTTACCCATTCTAGTGCAATTGGACTAAATTTCCTTTTATGATAGATCACTCGAAGATTGATTTGACCACTCACCATAAATATACGAAAAAAAGCCTCGTTTGTTGCATTGTCCAAATCACATTTATTGAAATTCTTGTCTTTAATTGCTTTTATTTGAAGCAACTTGAATTACCGAAAGTTTGGTTGTCTAAAATCGAGGTTTCATCTCTGTCAACATGGTCTTTTTATCATTACAAAAAGGTCAGCTAAGGCCTGGAATACGATTGGCCAGAGGAAGTCAGCTGTCATGGACTTAATGCTGTTTTCTCGGAAACTGAAATAATATCTCAGATTTCGTATGAGTGTTTTGACAGGGCTCGTCGCTTGATTACGCATCAGTCAACTACAATCTTAGGTGATCGTTATGAATCCTCTCTTTAAGAATCTCAAGAAACAATTTACTTGCTCGATTTGTCTCAATGCTTACACCGAGCCCAAAACTATATCATGCCTTCACACATTTTGCTGTAAGTGTTTAGAGACGCATGCAAGAGTGAGCCAGAGACAAGGGAAATTCCGATGCCCCGAGTGTCATGCAGAAATCGATTTACCGCAAGGAAATCGCTTCGACCTTTTGCCTAACAGTATTTTTCACAAAAGTCTGTTAGGTGTCCTTGAAGCGGAAGATCGCCAAGCCACTCCAAGGCAACAACAAGAGACTTGCTCGCAACATACGGAAGAAAGACTACGATATTACTGCTCCTCGTGTGAGGCGTGTATTTGTCCAATTTGCGTCACTGAAGACCACCGAGGCCATGCGTTTGACGTGCTTGAAAAAGCAGTGCAAGAGGAGAAAAAAAACATCCTGTCGACTGTCCAGACCATCAAGGAAAAGGCAAACTTGTTTCGAGCAGAGTTAAGTACACTAGAGAAAACATCAGAGGATGTGGAATTGTTTATCGCAATCGCTAAACAAGAAGTGTCGAAGGCAACTGAACACGTGATCACAATGACGCGACAACAAGAAAAACAGCTCTTAGAATCCTTAGAAATGACGCGTAGGAGGAGAATAGAGCGAATCAACTCGGCTAAACAAGAACTTAAATCTCTGGTAAAACAGATGAACCAAGCAGCTGAGTTTGCGGAGAATCTGGTGCAGAGAAGATCAGCTGCGGATATCATTCAGAACAAAAACGAGTTGAAACTTGGAGATCTTCGTGGAGTCGAAGTTCCAAAACATCGCCAGGATATATTTGTCAAATTTACCGCTGCATCGCAACACAACTTTAAACTGGGTTCTATTCAAGTGTCTGAGAAGCCGGCAATCGCAGCTAAATCAACTCTGGAAGGACTGGGTCAAACTTTCCAGGTTGGTGTACAAGCAAAGTTGACGTTGTGCCCACGGACATCTGGAGGAGAGATGAGTAACTGCGCTGATCTCAAAGATCAAGTGGAAATGCTGATAAAACCCGCCAAAGATGTGACAGACGTGATTGTTGATGAGGAATATGACGGAAAGGTTAGGCTGAAGTTTACTCCCAAAGTACGTGGGGCCTGCAACATTGAAGTGAGGATTAATGGCGATAAACTACCGACTTGTCCCATGACTGTGTGGGTAAAAGAACGTGAACTCGTTGTGGCAGGTGAGTTGAAGTTAAAACTCTTTCCAGAGGACAAGCTTGAACGGTTATATGGAATTGCTGTGAATACAGAAGACCAGTTAGTTGTAACAGATAACTTAGGCCACTGTGTTTATGTTTTTGACAAAACTGGCAACCGTTTGAGAAAAACTGGAGGCGAGGGTAGCCATACAGGCCAATTAAAGTTCCCTAAGAGCATTTCGTTTTTAAATGACAACGAAGTCCTAATTGCAGACTCAAGCAATTGCAGAATACAACGACTTAATATTCAGACAGGAACTGCAGTGAAAAGCTTTGGAAAAAAAGGCAGAGAAAAAGGAGAATTTGATAGGCCAATAGACGTTACTGTGGATGATGAAGAGCGCATTGTTGTAACTGAGTGGGGCAATGGTAGGATACAGGTGATGTCAAAGGATGGTGAGTCTATTTTTACATTTGGAGACAGAGGCCCAGAGAAACTCTGTAGGCCAACCTGCTGCATTCCTTACAAAAACATGTTTCTCGTAACTGACGCAGGGAACCACTGTATAAAAGCTTTTCATCAGTCAGGAACATTCTTATACAAGTTTGGCAAAGAAGGGAATCAAGATGGACAATTTAACCTGCCGCGTGGTTTGCTTGTAGACAGCTCCAATAATCTTCTAGTATGTGACTTTGGCAATAACCGAGTTCAACAGTTTGCTTTAGACGGTCGCTTCACCGGCAAAAGTATCACTCATTTATCTTATCCTGTGGCGATAACAAAAGCACAAGACGGGCTTATTCTTGTTACTAGCAATGATGAGAAAAAAGTGTATATTTTGAAATAGACTCTTTCAAAAGTGAACTTCGCTTCTTGAGCCGTTCCTTTAACCTGTGTTTTGTTTTATGTTTTACGCTGTTTTATCACTTGTCTGGAAGAACTCTTAGCGATAATATCCACAAGACTTACAATTACTCTTAGATACGAATATTTCTTGACTCCAAGTAATTAGCCTTGGTCTTTCAAGTTCGCCAGTTTCAAGCCGTTTTAATCTCCCCCATCCTTCCTCACTTGGCCATCCATGTTTCTTCTCGGTTAATTATTATCCTCTTTAATTGCTTTTTCTCCGATCTAAAGGCTTTGTTTTTTTTATTTAAGGTCAAGGTATTTCTCCGCATCATCAGTGGTGGTTTGAATAATCTAGACCACGAAATTTAAAATGTCTAGTTCAGCAGAACAACTACATGCTGTATAGAAACATTTAACAAATTTGACTTTTTTTATAGCCTGAGAATATATAGGTGGAAAACGTTAAGACCGAGTGCTGCTTTTTGCAGTCATTGATTGGTCAACTTTTTTTAAAAATGGGCATCTACTGGGTAATTATGTCATAATTAGAGGTGGTTACTGACTTTCCAACTAAGCTTAAGTGTTAGCTCTAAACTATTTAAACTATTTATTTTAAGAAATAGTCTCAGGTTTTCTTCTATGTAATAGGGCGAGAAAAATTAGAAATGCATTAAATAAATAAGACTTAAAAGTTAATTCCAGTTTGTTGTAAAGGATGATCATAAAATATGTTCCAGTTTTAAATATAAATAACATTTTTCAATAAAATTATTTGAAAAACTTTATTGGGAAACATCATTTCAAACTTACAAAATCATCTATATTTGCTCCCCTAGAAAATTAAAAAAAAAAATTAAGTCTATGTCATTTATACTTTAAATATAATTGGCAAGCAGGAATGTAGTGTTTTTTCCATCTCTTTGGATGTTTTGAGATGCCAAAGCATTAAGTCACCTTTAGCTCTTTCTTTAAGCAGGTAAAATTTTATATTGGCAAGTTAAAAACTAACTAAAAAAAAAAGAAAAAAAAAAAGAAAGAAACCAACAATAACGAGCAGAAACAAAAGAAAAAATGTGCCTAAATGTATTATTCATAGACATTTAGTTAGAGGGACTACATCCTTTAGTACCTTAGTGTCACTAGCTTATAATTTCTTCTCACAGTATCACTGTTACATCAAACAATAAGGTCATGAGAATAAAGGAAATGATCATCAGCCAAAGAAACTCTTGATTGTTAAGCAAATTCTCCTTGTTAGTAAGTTA